GCTCGCAGTCTCCGCTCTAATTCATCACAAAGGTGTTCTATTGGGTTGAGGTCAGGACTCTGTGCAGGCCAGTCAAGTTCCTCCACCCCAAACTCATCCATGTCTTTATGGACCTTGCTTTGTGAACTGGTGTGCAGTCATGTTGGAACAGGAAGGGGCCATCTCCAAACTCTTCCCACAAAGTTGGGAGCATGAAATTGTCCAACATGTCTTGGTATGCTGACAACTTAAAGTTCCCTTCACTGGAACTAAGGGGCCCAGTCCAACCCCTGAAAAACAACCCCACGCCATAATCCCCCCCCCCATCAAACTTTACACTTGGTACAATGCAGCCAACCAAGTACCGTTCTGGCAACCGCCAAACCCAGACACATCCATCAGATTGCCACACAGAGAAGCGCGATTCGTCACTCCAGAGAAAATGCACAATCCCAACGCATACTTTCCTGTAAGAAATGGCTGTAAGCATAGGTGGGTGCTGCAGCAATCGTCGGCAGAAACCGAGCAGAGTCAACAGGGAGAAATGTCACTGGGACATCAAGGATCTCCAATGTGGGTCACAAAAGGCTTTAAATGAAGGTTTACATAGTTACAACAAGGCAACCCTTGCTGTAACTATGTAAACCTTCATTAAAGCCTTTTCGGACCCACATTGGAGATCCTTGGTGTGCCGGTAACATTTCTCTTCGTCACTCCAGAGAACACGTCTCCCTTGCTCCACTGGGCATGCTTTACTCCACTGCATCTGACATTTTGCATTGCACTTGGTGATGTAAGGTTTGGATGCAGCTGCTTGGCCATGAAAACCCATTCCATGAAGCTCTCTATGTACTGTTGTTGTGCCTTAGCCTGGGAGAACTGAACCACAATGCATTGAGTGTCCCAAACATTTACCACCTCCACCGTTCACATCACCAAGTCACGAGTCAAGGTGTTTGGCTGAGTGGGTAAAGAGGAACACAGAGCCAGGTCCCCAGTTAGTTTCTCTTTCACCCTTGCTGAGTATAAGTAGTTGGAGTGAAATGTCTTTTTTAGCGAACAAGAAAACCCAACTAAAACATTGTTTGCTGTTGTAGAAATTCATTCACCATAAAACAGACGTCTGTATCTTTTCATATCCTTCACAATGACAGCAAAATCACTGAGAAGTAATTTTAACTCTGCGTGTGTATGATGGCTTTGAAAACAGGTGTTAAAGATGAACCATGGTATATTCATGTCTAAGAGGTCAGCAGGTCATAAGCTTAGTTTTAAGAATAGAAATTGGAATGTAAAAAGATATTGGTATGCAGTAAAGCAAAGAAAGGATATGTCTTTTATAAAGAAAATCATGTCTAATCTATAATATAGTTAGTTGGATAATTATTTCATATAATCAATTTATTAGTTAGGAATAGTGTGTGATAAGTTTAGTATCAATTATTGTTGGTTATATGCATTTATGTGATCATTGTGCTTTCTAAAAGATATGTGAAGCCATTGTATATCATATGACAGTATCATGAATTTCTGTCGTCTAAGAGGTTTGAAGATGTCACACTAAGAATATACGTTTAGAAGGTTTACATATATGGACACTAAGAGTATAAGTTTAGAAGGCTTACATATATGGACACTAAGAGTAGAAGTACAAAAAAGGGTTTACTCATTTAGCTCACACTGAATTAGGAAATAACTGTTTAGTGGGTTGGTCTGGTAAAATATATATAAGATGTGCCTTAGAGATAGAGAGACACACATACACACATACACATACACTCACTCAGACTCATACATCAAGACATTATACTGCTGACACGCATTGACATCTGACATTTTCTTAAGGCCTGCAAAGCCTTGATACACCTGTTGTCTTCCTTGCCAAGACTGAAACACTTGTCATAGAACAGGCAAGAGTTTAGACATTTCTCCAAAGCTTATTTCCTTTTCCATAATCTACAACTTTTGTTATATTTTACTCTGTATTTTATTTTATCTTTTGTATTCATTTTTGATGCCAAGTGTGAATTAAAAAAAGTCGCACTGTTTTAAATCAGCCTGGCACTAGAACACTTTACCTCAAACGCCTAAAGACAGACACTTAAATAATATAAGTGTCACGATATTTAACAGCTGTATTTTAAGTTGCGCTAGACTACATTGGATTTCACTTCTGAATCTTCTTGATGAATTGATATGACTTGTGGGTCTTGGTAAAGCAGCAAGTTGCCATATTGTCTGCAAAAAGTGGTCTCAGGAGGTATATTGTTTGCATAAAGTCAAATTGGAGAAAAAAACACCTGTCTTGGAAGCAGCAAATGCTGAACTCCACTGCTGAATCTTCTGGTTGCCTGGCTGTCATGGGTATGCTTTTGCTTCAAAGGTTTGAGCAACTGGCCCAGAACAAGCTGGGAGATAACAATGTGAGAGTGTAATTCAGAGTTTTCTTTTTTCATTTTTAGTGAAGTGCATTAGAGCCAATAAGGAACTTGAAATTAGGGTTTTTTTTGGTGTTTTTTAGGAATGTAATAAACTTTAAATGGTTCCTGAGGGTTACAGTAGCTGCTTTCATTTATCCTAGACCTGTTCCTGTGTCAAAAAAATTACTTTTATTACCATCAACACTTTTTACACAGAAAGAAAAAACAAAGAGTAAAAAAGACAGGAAAAACACACAACGATCAAATACACAAAAAAAGGGACAAGCAGAAAACATAAGTAAAATAAACTACCCTAAACGAACCTCCAAAAATACAAAACCCTCAATATGAAGAAAACAAAATAATTTTTTTACACCAAATTTCATCTAGGCCACTCAGTAAACTGAAAGTTTCTGCTTAGGTAATTTTGTGGCAAAATTAAAGAAGTACAGCCAAAGTTCATTTGGCTGTACTTCTCTTGAAGATTACAGGAGTGCAGTTCGTTCTGTACTCCTGTGACCCATTTTCAGCCGACAGCGGGCTAAAGTCTGTTGTTGGCTGATGTCACTCAACTGGTTCAGGCTGGGGAAAGATCCTGACTTTAAAGTCGGGATCCACCCAGATCCCGGATTCAGCCTATGATCAATCCTCTGAGAGCCTGAGCCAGCCTTTCCTTTCCCCTCCACAGCCCAGTGCTCCAGTGAGTGCTGGGGGGGCAGAGCAGAGTGGTGACTGACAGTCAGCGCTCTCTGCTCAGAGTGGCAGGGAGAACTGAGGGATCAACTGTGTATGATTGTTCAGTTCTCAGCCTTACACCTGACGGGGGACAGATTCAGCATCGGATCGATATTGCATCCACCTAGGTAAGTGTGATTTAAAAAAAAACATATTCCCATGTTTCTCTTTTAATTTAGAAAAAAATCACTCTAATCGTGCCCCCCATCCACCTATGAACAATTATCAAACTTTAGTTCCTTGTCATTTATTTTCTATAATCTGTCTGTTTGTTCTTTCTTAGAACTGTGTTCACTTTAAGGGTTCTTTCATATAGACTGCAGTGCCTACCACCTTAAGAAACAAAATCTTTGAGCAGTGGCTGGCAGGCATCCAGAAGGCGATCCTGCCGCCTTCCAGATGTATTCAATTTTGTTAATCCCAACAAAGATCTTTTATTAAAGTACTGCACCACGAGATAGTAGCAGCCATCATCTCATTTCCAAATTGTATGGCCCCAGGAGAGGACGGAATACCCATTGAGGTTTACAAACTCTGTGTTGATACTTTAGCTATCTCCCCAATTCAATAAGTAGAGATAATATTGTGTTGCTATTAAAACCTGGTAAATATCCTACAGACCCAAGTTCACACAGGCCCATTTCCTTACTACCAGTACTGTAGATGTTAAAATCTTGGCTCAAATACTCTCCACCTGTTTATATTTCAATGTTTTTATTGAACTATCTAAGCCATGACAATGAAATCAGAGTTCCAAGGTCATGTGGACAATATAACAATGTAACAGAGATACATCAGAGTTAGCACATACAGAATAAACCATAATTATAGAAACAATCAATGGCAAAAGAACGATCTCAGATGGATGCTCTCTTAAACAATGGAAAAGATCAATATTATATGAAGCTAAACAGCTCACACCCAGTCTGCAAGGGACCAGGGACACTATAAATCCTAACACCAAGTGTGATAGCGATAACAAATAATGAATGGAATTACTATGTCATTTGCACAGTGGGGAGAAAAGGAGGGGGAGGTGGAAGGGAAGTGGAGGGTTAGAGAAGAGAAAAAAAACACTGTTCGTTTGTCTGAGATCGTAGGTATGCTCAGAGCCACAAAAGCCCCCTAAGAAACTTTAAATTGGTCAACTTCCTATAATGAGAGAAGGAACATGAAGAAAAAGAAAGAAGGAAAAATGAGAAAAGGAAGAAGGAAAAAATCCAGAATGAGAAAGGGAGAAAGAAAGTCAACCTAGTGCTCGCTAAGAGACATATATAACGAATCCACACATCCCAAATCCTGTCAAATTTCTCTGTGTTATTATGAAGAAGAAGACAGGTGAGTCTGTCGTTAACCATGATCCAGTTAAATTTAGTCTTGACATAGTCAAGTGGGACCACCGACTGTTTCCAATATTTAGCAATAGTAATTCTATGCAGAGCCATACAAGACAGTGTGCAGGAGCTGACAGGGGAGAGATCTGTATTGTTTACATACAGGTCTCCTCCCCATTGGAGATACTCGGCGATCACTGGGTGCCGTCGAGTAATCACATGCGCGCCCCCTACCCAGAAATGCAAAATCAAGTATATACAGTATACGTGATTTTGCGCACCCCTGCCGCTCTGTAGCAGTATTTCTGCTATAGGGCAGAGGCAGGGACGGACTGACAACTCATGTGGCCCCCAGGCAATAGGGGATCATGGGGCCCCTGTGTCCTCGCACACACCCAAAAAAAAACCTACGAAAAAGCCAATGAAAGGTATCAGGGGCATCATGGGGCCTACTGAGCCCGGGCCCTCGGGCAGTGCCAGAATGCTTGAATGGTCAGTTTGCTCCTGGGCGGAGGGGAAGCAGTTGATTCAGAAGGTCTGGATCCATGTGAGGAAACTCCAAGGAGTCGAGGTATTCACTAACTATAGCCCCATTTGGCATAATTCCACCTATGATGACTTAGAGGGCCTGACATGTGCAGGGTTGTGGAAGTGCTGGCCACCTTCCACCTCCCTCCCACATTGACGCTTTTCTATCACCAACTCCACCATGCTGTTCGAGCTCAAGGTCCCATGACTAATTGGTCTCTATCTCCTACACCTATCTTTTACTATGTCAAATCAGTGCAGGATATGAAGGGGTTTATCTCCAGTTGTTATCACATGCTACTTTTCCCATACCTAGAAGGTCACTCTTATAAGGCTAAAGAACAGTGGGAGCAGATGTAGGTCTATTGGATGGGGTACTGTGGCACAATGCTATGGAGTCAGTCCTGCACATCTCCCTTAATACCAGTCAGAGGCTATCACAAGTATATATTCTTCTACGCGCCCCATTACATACCTCTTAAACTCCAACAGATGGGTATCCTGGGGTCCCCCCTTTGCGCTAAGTGCACAGCTGTGCAGGGTGACCTTATTCACCTCTTTTGGGTGTGCTCAATGCTCTATCTTCACTGGGCAGAAGTTGTTGCAACCACTAGTACTGTTTTCCAAATTACTGCCCCTGTGGAAACTACCCGGTGTATTTTGGGTATACTAGACGATCTCCCACTAACTGTTTTCCAGAAAGCTGCTGTTAACAGAATTTTGTTTCAGGCTCGATGCCTTATCCTCCAACAGTGGAAGTGTGACAAAGCTCCCACTCATAAAGAATGGGTTGCACATGTGGGTGACACCCTTAGAAAAAAATCATCTTTCAACATAGGGGCTGTCCAAACAAATTCAATAAATTATGGGAGGACTGGTTGGCCGTTCCAGGTCTTGTGCCTACTGACCTGGTGCTTGATAGACTTTGATATGAGCTTACTATCCACCTAGGAGTGAATATAGCATTGAATATATGGTGCTCTCACCCAGCTCCTGCAACATTTTTCCAATCTTGACCATTTTATTTTATTATAATGCTGGAGGGGAGCTGTTTTCAGGTTATGCTATGTATGTTGTGCTGTAGTAGTACCTTGGACCACCATTATTGTCATGTTCCAAGGTTGTACTCTTGTTTATTGGCTGTACCTCAATAAACCTTATTTCTAATAAAAAAATAAAATACTGCACCGCAACCACGAGACAAGCATTTGGCTTGTGGTTGCAGAACGCTCCCATTGACCTTAACGACAGCTAAGTTGATGGCTCCAAGATATACAACTATGTGAATATAAGAACAGAAAGGGTTTTTTATGGTTTAAGGCTAACAGCTAAGGCACTTGTCCCACAGAGGTGATGGCTACAAGAAACACGACCTTGTGAGTGAGAGTGGAGAGCGGAATATCCATAAAGGTACAGGTATGCACTGGACACCTAGCAAGAACACAATGGCACCTGTAGGCATTAAGTGTATCCCCGCATCAATTCACCAACCTGTAGGCATGTGCAATCTGTTTCCTCCACTGTAGGAGACACTCAACCTGAGTAGTACCACAGTCTGCAGATAAAGTCAGGGTTAACTTGGTTTCTCTATGGCTTCCAGGTCCCCGAAGGCAGCGTTTTGATTCACTATGTTGCATCTAGGAAACCCCTAGTGGTCGTCTTGGGTAAGCAAAGTTTTTATAAGTCCCTGCCCCAGGTTTTGACGTGCATTTGTGAAGTGGTAATAGTAAGGAAAGAGCACCCATCTGTCAGAGAAAGTGATAACGGTACGCAAAGGTTCCAGATGAATAGGGCAGGCTAGGGACTTGCAACCCTTCACGGAAGCCTCCCCTTGGGACCAAGTTTACCTGCAACCGTACTATGTGTCCTTACTGTCACTGCACCACGCTGCACCTACTTACAATGCAAGGACAAGGCCCATCAAAAACAAACAAAAATTCCCAGCTCACTTACCAGCAAGCCTGCAACAAAACAAACAAAACAAAATTGACCCGTCTAACAGTTCACAAAAAACAAGGGGTTTAGTTGCAAACATTTGAAAATATATGTGTAAAGCTGCAGTGGCCACGTCAAGGCACCCCAGTGTACTGCAGTCCTAACTCAATCATTTTAGAATCTCCCAAGTTGGAGCACATATAGTAGTGGATAGAGTAAGGGCAGGTTTGACTGGAAGGAGCCCACTCCTCTTTAAAAATACAGAATGGCACCAAACATCCAGAAAGGGCACAACGGCAAGTGAAGGTATCCATTGTGTCCCCGCTCTAATTCACCAACTATACAAACAGCTCACTTACCAGCTCTAGTTGAGGTCAAAGCTCTGTGCAGGTCACTCAATTTTCTCCACACCAATTTGTCAAACCATGTTTTTATGAAGCTGGCTTTGTACACAGGGCACAGTCATGCTGGAACAGAAAAGGATTATCCCATAACTGTTTTCACAAGGCTGGTGAAGCACAATTGTCTACAATGTCTTTTGTGTGTTGTGGCATTAACAGGGTCCTTCACTGGAATTCAATCCAGTGTCAACTTTAATTGGAGTCTCACAAACACATGGAAATAGTACGAACCATCTCAACTTTTGTACATCGAATAGAAGCATAAAGTATTTGTAACTGTTTCAGCTTGCTTCAGTGAAATCTTGTTCTCTCTTGATAACATTAGTCCTGTTTTGTACTATAGATGGTGATGATACCGCTCAGCTCTCAGGACAGACACAACTTCCAGCAGATGATCTTGGGGAATGAACAGTAAGATGTGGCAATCTCCATTGTCCTCATCAATAATTATTCCTCCACCATTCTTTTTGATTATAAGCAGATAAGTGGTGATCTGTGATTTTTGTTGCCAGTAGTCACATCTTGTGTTAATCATAAGCAATATTTCCTTGTCACAGAGAGTCATTGGTATCAGGGACTTCTGGCAGCACCACGTTCTGAGGATGGATGAAGTCCAGAGTCTATCTATAATGGACATACTAAAGATGACAAGAAACTTCAAGACCGATGAATGTTTAATGGAGATAATTATAAAGACAAGCAGGGAAATTAACTAAGCTATCATGCTGCGGGGGGGGATGGGGTTGGTGGGCGGTAAGTGGCATAGTGTACTGGAGGGTGCCTGCACAGCATTCTTACTTGCCCCTGCCTTCTCCGTCAACACTGGGGTTACATTAGCTGGTTGAGGGAGAAAAACACTGAAGTTCTAGTTAGTACCAAGGTGTATATGCTTTGTAAAAATAAATCACCTCTGATGTTGTGAGTCCCAGAGCTCAGTAACCGATGTATTGAAGAACTTGCAAACAGTGCAACAACCCAGGGGGGAAGCTAACCTGACTGGGAAGTTACAGTCAATGCAGCGGAAAGTCAGCAGTAGGAGGCCCAAACTGAAAACAGCACTTGCCAAGGGGAGTGGAATGCGGAGATGCCCCTGGAATGCAACTGCAAAGTCACCAGAGTTCTGTAAGAGTCCAGCCAGCACACTCTGTGATCAGAGGGAACCAAGAGAGACTTTGAGAAAGACCTAGAAAAGATTAAGGCCTTGCTTGATGTTGAAGATATATTGTATTTTTGGAGAAATCTCATTCCATACCTCCCCCTCCTTTCCAAAATGCCATTAACAGTAAACCGGATTTCTATTTTAAAATCGACTAAAATGACTGATGCCCATTTCTGTACATCCTGAGCAAAGAACCACACTTACGATTGAATGTATCTGGGATCTTATTGCTGTGTAACAGAACTTACATAATAGGACATTTACAATGCAGCAATTGATGAGTCCAGGATCAGTACTGAAGTATTGAAGAGAAGTCAGCATAGAACTACCCAGGTATTACAGAATACAATGCACACATTGTACAGTGGTCGAGCATAAATTGAAATACAGAGTATAAGTGAAGAACACTGTTGGAAATGGTTGCATCACCACGACATAGGCATCTTTTAGAGTTTTTACCATTGTAGAGCTACTCCCGTAGGAGCCGCTAGAAGATGCCCATGGTTTTTTCCCAATAGTTGCCCCACATCTAGGGTCACTGTCACAGTCACTGTTTTGGCTCAGTGAACAGTCTAGGGGTATCCTCTTTTTGGTAGAAAAAGAGAAAAAGATGAGGAGCGCCAACACTTAAGTGTATATACTGTATATTGGTAAATGACAAGCAGAAGTAAAAATGGACTCACATTTACTGGTAGATTAAAAGCATATAACATCCACTGCGAATGGTTGCAGAGCCAGTAGATGTGCGGCACTGCCATTCACTGTTAATGGCACCCCCCTGCATCTGCTAACACATGCATTTTCAGATACACCAAAACACATGGTGCCACACGGTCTCTGTCACCAAAGTGGAAAAAGGAGGGACCCCCTAGGACTGGGACTTTGCTGGCTTAAATAGTACCAAAATATTTTAAAGAGTACACATTTTTATTTGTCAAAAACTTTTAAGACACATAGACATACAAAACAATACATCATACAGAGTCATAATACAGCATCAAAATCAGAATATGAAATTACATGATAAGGACACCCAGTATGACTGTGTTTGACTGACCATAGAAGATATAAATTGGTATCATCATTGATATATAACACTGCAGAGATACTATTCAAATTGTTACAACGCATTTCGGAGTGATTCCACTCCTTCCTCAGGGAAAAGAGAAGAACTCTGCATATGGATGACATCATCTACAAGATTAAACATATTAGTTTGGAACAAGTCTCATATACATAACAACATTTAATATCTTGTAATCTGTATATATACTTACAATACATGAAAGTGCAAAAAGAATGGTTGATTAAAAGACATGATGCTTCAAAATGTCACCTTATATGACTAGGGGCCGACCGAACTCAGACAGCGGAAACCCCCAGAAAGAGTCCCAAAATTGAGACATCAGGGGTCTATTTAGAGCACTGATATTTCAACAAAGCCCCTACAGGGCTGTTAAAAATGTAAAAAAAATATAATTACGTTCTAAAAACTATATAAAAAAATTTTGAATCAAAATTATCACTGCTTGTTAACACGTGTTTTGGTCTGTGAAGGGCGTTCAGCATTCAGATTGCTGTTCAGGGAGCATTTGACTGGCTATAAGGTGGCATTGTATTGCCTCCTCACTGCCTGGTTTAACAACTTCAACCTTGCACTAGCATGCTGCAACCATATGCATTGCACAAAGCTGTGGGGCAGTTGCGGAGGAGCACCATTCACTTAAATGGGTCAGGTTTGACAAGGGGTATAATTCATGCTGCAGCTGTGAAGGAAAACGTCCCAGCCGCAGGATGTCTACATCCCTAGGCCCTCCCTCTGCAGCTGAAGGATGCAGCAGTTGATAAACCCGGGGGGGGGGGGGCAGTTTTAAGTCCAGACACTTTCACCCCCTTCCTGTCCAGGCCAATTTTCAGCTTTCAGAGCTGTCACACTTTGAATGGCAATTGCGCGGTCATGCAACACTGTACCCATATGAATTTTTTAGCATTTTTTTTGAGACAGATAAAACTTTATTTTGGTGGTATTTATTCACCACTGGGATTTTTTTTTTTTTTTTCCTATATAAATGAAAAAGTCCAAACATTTTGAAAAAAAGTGTTTTTCTTATAAAATTTTGCAAATAAATAATCTTTATTCATAAATCTTGGCCAAAATTTATTCCGTTAACTTTTTAGTAAAAATAAATAACCCAAATTAGTTTATAACCAAAAATTATAATTTTTCAAACTTTTTTTACATTTTCATTTTATTGTTTTATATTATTATTTATGTTTTTTTTAACATACCGTCACCCTAGCAGTACAGTGTCACCATAGTACTACTACATATACTACTTGTGGGGGTGATGAAGATTTATTTTTATTTTTTTACACTGATTGCTTTTACACCCAAAAAGGCTGTAAAAGCAATCATTTCTCTTTCTCTCTGGCTGCATTCTTGCAGCCATTGAGAAATACTGTGAGAGCTGTGATTGGTCACAGCTTGTCACATGGTACAAGGCTGTTGTGAATAGCCTTGTACCATGTGACCTCTGTGATCATTCACAGATTTCACACGTAGTAAGCAATGATATCACAAGTGACATCTTGCTTACTACTATGCGTGTGATCACTGATTGGCCAATCAGTTATCACATGATTGGGACCTCACACAGAGGTCCCATACAGCGAGCGGTGCCACGCGGTCTCAGGGAGCATGCACAGGCTAAAATGTCGGGCGCCGTTTATGAATGGCAACCCGCTCCTGCACTGCTCCTGTCAGGCTGTTAATATACATGGGCCGGACAGGAAGTGGTTAAGCACAGTTTTCATTATGGCGCTCTATGGACGCCACAAGTCGTTATTTCCCTGAAATGTTTCTCATTTCAACTTCGAAAAACTAGACGGTACGTTAGTATGATTTCAGTACATGCCACAAACATTACAAACCTTACACCATTATTAGCCCTATTATGGGGGGGGGGAGGTGCAGTTTGCCATGTTGGCCCTGGGCACAGGATGACCTTGTCCCGGCACGGAGGAGGACACTTTCTCTTCTGTAGAACTGAGCCAAGTCCTTGCACAAGTAAAGGAATGAACTAAGTGTTGAAGCAGCAACTTGTAGAGATTAATCTTCCTATCTGGACAGTCCAGGCAAAGAACTTTCACTGAGAATTAAATAGACTGTCCAGGACACTGGACATTATGTCCCCTTTATACACAGCTGTCTCTAACACCAGAGGGGTGGCAACAGCGCCATCTCTAGGATCTCTCACAACTGACTGTACTCACAAATTATTATTATTATTATTATTACTACGAGTTTATATAGCGCCAAAGGGTTTGCTCAGCGCTGTACAATAGGGGGGACAATACATGTGTCTTAAGATGATTGGCTGCCTCCTTCCAAAGCCTTCCAGACACTTTCTCCCTGTGATACCAGACTAGATCAATAGACGACAGGCCCCCTCAGTCAGCTCCAGAAACTTCCAGCAAAACCTGGCACCCCAGCTCACCCAAAACACATGGCAAGTGGGCCTAGGGGACAAACAGCTCCCCTAGGCTGCAGGAACAAGAAAATTCTATCCCAGATCTCAAACTATTTATACACTTCCCCAGCAGCCATCTGTGCACTCTTCCCACAGGGATTGGCTGAGACAGTATAACTACCACTTTGCCTTTGTATAACTACCACTTTGCACATCTATGTTCCAGAACCATCCAAAGAGTTCTAGGTTGCAGGAGGAGCAATCAAACCTGCAGCCTGTGAAACACAGAACAGACCTTAACAATCACAAATAGCCACACACTGATTACAGTGAGCCACACTAACTTTGCCTACCAACAAGAATGCAGCTCCATTGAATACAGCGAGCCAGGATGAAATTGACCTAAATCTAGCACCTAGCTACTGTAGGAGGGTGCCTCACAGTCATGACCAAAAATGACATTATATTGCTTTGTAAGCAGAACATTTTTCTCAATAAAATCAAATAAACAAGGGTAAAAACAGAGAAATGCAACGAAGAGTGGGTGGGAAGAAGAGACAAAACAGCTGAGAACAGAAGACGGAAAAGTCTCATGACTGAGAAAGGAAGATGTACAAACAGGCAAAACAAACAAAAGTGAAATAATCAATATGTGTGTAGCAAAGTAGCTAAACAAGTGTGAAGGTCTGCTTAATGATTTTAGATTGTCAATGCAAGGTTTCGCAATATACAGGCGTACCTCTGTTTACGAATGAAAATCCATTGAAAATAATGCCTCGGTTTACAAATTTTTTTCACAATACGAAGCAAGTTTCCCCAGGATGCATTGCGCCTGGGAAGTTTATAGCGCTGGCCCCGTACCTTTCAGAGGTTCCCACCCGGCCTATAGCCAGATGATGACCTGCAAAACCCCTCGTCCATCCGAGTAGACGCCATATGGCGTCCTTTCAGGCATGCACAGTTTGCATGCCCGCAGAGCCGCGCAGTGGCGTGATCTGTCACCGGCCGTGTACCTCGGACACGGCCAATGACAGATCTGCGTACCGGCCCTGTTGTCGATACCATGTGACCTGCTGTGACCAATCACAGCAGGTCACACGACAGTTGTATACAATGGATGGCTTCATTCATGCCATCCATTGTATACTACTGCCTAGCTGTGAATGGTCACAGCAATCACATGCACAAGCTGGGCCGATCACAGCCCAGGTGTGTCATGTGATTAGCCGTGGCCAAATCACAGCTAAGCACAAAAAAAAAAAAACCTTGAATGAATTGATGTCATTCAGGTAAATGCTTGCTTATAGCAAAGTAATTCTTTGCTATAAGCAAATTGTGTAAAAAAAAAAAAAAAGATAACTTCCCCAAAGTAGTACAATGTTACTATGGTAACATTATACTACTTTGGTCATAGTGAAATATGAAAAAAAATCTTACAGAAAAGAAAACAAATGTAATAAAAAATTAAAACTAATAAAAAAATTAAAAGAAATTATAATTTTTTTTTTTTTTCATACTGTCACCAGTCAGTGTCCCTAATCACCGCCATGCCAGTTATATGATGACACTGTACTGCACTGGTGACAGCATGTAAAAGAAAATGTGAAAATAATTTTTTAATTTTTTTTCATTTTCTGAAAAATTATGACAAAAAAATTGCAACTTCAAAAAACTCGCCATGCCTCTTATGAAGTACATCGGACTGTCTACTTTGCAAATAGTGATCATTTGGGGGATATCTGTACTGTTCTGACATTCTTGGACCTCAAGAAATTAGATTGGCCGTCAGTACTTCAGGATTGATCAATTTTCAGATCTATACCATAGTTTGTGAACTCTCTAACTTTCCTACAAACTAAATAATACATCCTAATTTGGGTTATTTTTACCAAAGACATGTAGCAGAATACATCTCGGCCTAAATTTATGAAGAACAATTATTTATTTGCAAACTTTTATAAATGAAACAAAGAAAAACGTGTTCACAATTTTTGGTTCACAAAAAATAAAAACCGCAGTGTTGATTAAAATACCACCAAAAGAAAGCTCTAGTTGTGTGAAGAAAATTATAAAATTTTAGTTTGGGTAAGATGTTGTATGACCGCGCAATTGTCGTTCACAGTGTGAGAGTGCTGAAACCTGAAAAATGGCCTGTGCAGGAAGGGGGTAAAAGTGCCCGGTATGGGAGCGGTTAAAGTGCATGTTATAAAGAGTTTTAAACAGATAAGACTTTTTTTTTACTTTTTTCTGACTTCTGGAATGGATTAATTGGTTTTCAATGCATTTACCTATTTTTTTGCAATACAAAGCAAGCTTCCCCAGGATGAATTGCGCCTGGGAGATACATGCTGGAGTCTGTGGGTAGCATGTGGCGTCGAGTGCGGAGGTGTTGGAGTGGTTTTTGCATCGAGTTTTGGAGCCATTCTGGAAATGTTTAATCATGTCCCTGTACAGTATTTATACCTTTAAAGTGCACTTTATAAAGAGTTTTGAACAGATAAACAGATTGAACAGATAAAATACTTTTTTTTTTTACTTTTTTCTGACCTCCGGAACAGATTAATTGGTTTTCAATGCATTCCTATGGGAAACCGGGTTTCGGTTTACAAATTTTTCACAATACGAAACACATTAAATTCGTAAACTGAGGTACGCCTGTAATTGTGACTTGTAGTACCATAGTGTATTCTTACATCAAAGTTCTTCATTATTTGTTTTGGGGAAAGGGTTTAGAAAGGTGGTCCAGGTATCAAATCATTATGGTGGATGTGTCTGTGTTTAATATCATCAGTTTTGTCAACTTTCCTAAATTGATCTAATACTTGATTTAAATCGTGAAGATTAGTAGGATTATCCAGTAGACAGTTTTTCAGTTTTTTGCTGCTAGGAGAGCTGAATGGGGGGATCTTTCTGCTGCATCCTGAAAAACACCCCAACAACCGAAATGTTTGTCACCAAAAAAAACAACTATATAGGGCAAGTCCATAGAACATGGTCAAGGTTACTAATAAGGTGTGAAGATTTTGGACATTTGATTATGTAGTCCTCTGTAGAGGTTCCTCCATAACATCCATGTAAACCCAACATTTCATATTCCAGATATGTGCCTGCTGTACCATGTACTTGTATGAAAGAGTATCCTTTGTATTGCACCTTTACAGTACCGGGACAAAATCATCCAGGGCAAAGAAGCCAAACTGCACCCCCCCTTCATTATGTGCAAGCTTATTGGATACTACCCCCAACAGTCACCCACTTGTCAAAATGCCTTGTATCAGAATGAGCTCACCTGTGCCCCCAGCCATACAATATACTGCTGTGCCCAGGGCAGCTGCCCCTCCTGCCCACCCCTTGTCCCAGCCCTGCTCCTTTGTATGAAATCCCTGGAATTCCTGCAAGTCCCTCTGTTTTCCTATTAAAAACTGACCACACTAAGCAGGAGAGTACAGCCTGATCAGTTCCCTAGCTTTTACTTGCAAAAGGTGAACTTTTCCTTAAATATAAGCCTCCATCCTAGAGTGAATGTTCTGGATCACGTATTTTATATCCAACACTTTGCATTGGATTTCATTATGTAATGTTTAATAAGCTTTGTGCTAACACCTAGTGGTAATCCAGCGTAATTACAACTTGTAATTAAATATCTATAAATGGAACAATACAGATTACCTACATCAGTGGTCTCCAAACTGCTCCCCTGTGCTGAATGCGGCCCTTTACTTGCTTATATGTGGAGCACTATTTAATCCATTGACACCAACAAATTCCTCACAATGATAGCAACGATGGGGCACAACTCCCTCCAATGATGGGGCACAGTTCCCAATGATACCAAGATCGGGGCCCAATGACACCAATGATTGGGCACAATTTCTCCCAATGACACCATCGATGGGGCACAATTCCTCTCACTAAAGATGGGGCATTGTTTACTCCCACTAATGCCGGGTCATTTTCTGGTCCTGCCCCCCCCCTAAAATCTGTGGGACAGTAAACTGGCCCGTTGCTTAGAAAGTATGAAGACCCCTGACCTACATGTTTAGATTTGTTATTTTTTTTTTCTTACCTAGATCCCTCCCTTTTTCATCTTGTTTCCTCAGTTAGTTTCCATCCTTCAAAGATGCTGAAAATCATTGTCCATTTACACTTTAATATGACTGGTTAACCCCCATCTACGGCATTTTTACAACTAAAATTACATTGGATTAAACTGCTTTATGAGAGAGTTGAGCTGTCTGTTTATTTATTCAGCAGTTGATCATACTGAAAATATATATTGAACCCTCAAATGGTGTCAGAATTAGATTCCTCCAAAACGCACCATCAGATTT